CACACCTCCCCCCATATACAATACTTACTGTTCGCGCCCAGTCGCATCCGTGTAGGCGCCGCTATAGAAGCCATCCTGCAGCCACCCTTCCCCGTCCTGCAGCCTCCCGGAGAATTCCCCGAAGCTGATTCTGTAGAGGCGCGTCGGCAGCAGCGTCTCCCGCAGCCGCAGCACGTACATCGAATACTCGGGCAGACGACGGTGACACTCGACGCTGACGTTGCGCTCGTACTCCATGTCGGCGACGAAGACGCGCTCGGCGCTCACGTTCAGCGCCGCCGCGTGCAGCACGACGAAGCGCGTCGGCTCGGTGCAGTTGACGTGCACGTCGACGCCGCCGACGAACACGTTGCGCGCGAAGTCGACGCGGTAGGTGACGTCGTAGTTGTAGGGCACGAGCGACGTCGGCAGCCGCATGTCGTCCCATACCACTGGGCACGGCTCGGTCACTTGCACGTTGGCCGTCTGCACGGGCGTCTCGTACACCTGCGCCGCCGCGTCGCCGGCCGTTGCCGCCGCGTCGTCGTCGGCGGTCGCCGTCGCGTAGACGGACAGCAGCAGCGCGACGGTGACGAGCAGGGCGACGACGGCGACGACGAGGACGGCGAGCAAGAACAGCAGCTGTCGCTTGGAGCAGGGCACCGAGCGCCGTCTGGCGGGCATCACCTTAATCGTCGTCTCGTTGTACGGGTTGTTGGGATCGAGCACGAGTAGCTCACCGTTCACTTTGCTCGCGTCCGTGGGCTCCATGATCAGGCGCCGTAATATACCCATTCAATATGGCACGAAACGCGGGAGCGCGCTATACAACCAGCTAGCAGCTATGAGCAGCGGCAGCAGTAGCAGCAGCAGCTGACATAGCGTTCAACGATCCCTCTCAACGCGTAATTATCCGGCGCCGATGAGAGTTGTAACATCGTCGTCGATCGAGTTCGAACTGAATGCAGTAGCTTCTTAGCGTCGTGTGCTCGGCAGTCGATGCGTCCTAAAAACATGCTTTTCGTAGCGCAGGTATGAGCATGTCTTACTGTTCACTACGTAGCGGCCGCGCCGAGTGCCTGCCGGTCAGCGGTGGCGTCGTGGTATACTGATTGTCGGCGTGGCGTGATTTCTGAGCGAGAGAAGGGCGCGCGAGAACGCGCGAGAAACACAGCAGCAGCAGCGCGTCGCCTCGCCTACTGATGCGTTAGGCAGCGAGTTTCTTATAATGCTATCGCTGAAGTCACACTCGCGCGGTTTTCAACGCGGCAAACTCACGTCACTTTGCCTTGCGCTGAATTTGAAACCCGAGTCACGCACACAGACAGACACGCGCGCACGCGCGCGGGCACACCTACACAGAGAGAAAGAGAGCCTTAATGCGTGAACGTCAGGCAAGTACACCCTCTCTTGTGTACTCGAGCGCGGTTAAAATTGCGCTGCTATAAATGTATATAAATTAAAGTTTATATGTACATATATAACCACCCATGCAGCCATTCATCACAAAAGGCCCATGGGCCTGAGATAAGACCTTGACGGCGTGTGATCACGGAGTATAGACCTAGTTACAAAGCGGCGGCAGTCACTGTGGCCGTCTCATGGCTTCACATGTCGCTCTGTACCGCACGCGTGCAGCTGCGTCCGTATCTCTGTCAGCCACTGACTCGAGAGCGAGAGCGAGAGCCGGAGAGAGAGCTGGCGACGGAGATGCGACGGCGGACGGGGTGCGCGCGCATCGCTCGGCGTTCGCTCGCTGCCGGCGTGCGCGCGCGCGCCTGCGTGCACGGAGCGGTGCGCACGGGCAGCCTGCGTGCACGCCCGCAACAATAACAGCTGCGGTGGCTATCCGCTTACGCTGCTGCATCACGCCGATACTAGAAGCGCAGTCGGAGGGCGTGAGGCGGGCGGGATTCACGCGCGGTGGGCGTGCGTGTTCGTGCGTACGTGGGTGTGCGTGCGTATGTTTGAGTGTGTGCGTGCGTGTGTTTGTGTGAGTGAGTGTGTGTGCGTGTGTGTGTGTGTGTGTGTGTGTGTGTGTGTGCGTCTGTGGGCCTGTGCGAGAGTGTTCGTGAGCGTGAGTGCTTGTGAGTGTGTGTGTTACATATGTGTGTGTGTGTGTGTGCGTGCGTGCGTGCGTGCGTGCGTGTGAGTGTGTGTGTGTGCGCGCGCGCGTGTGTGCGTGTGTGGGTGTGGGTGTGCGTATGTGCATGGGTGTTCGTGCTGCGTGCCCACCCGAGTGCGTGCGGGTGCGTGTGAATACCGTGGGCGTCAACGACCGCCTCGACTGTTTACCACAATTGAACGTTCTATCACGCAGCCTCCTCAATCGCTATAATCCTCTCCCAATTATCATCTGTTTGCTCATATTATTTATATGGAAAAAGAGAAAAAGAGAGATAGAGATAGAGAGAGAGAGAGAGAGAGAGAGAGAGACAGACAGAGAGAGTGTGTGAGAGAGAGAGATATATATAGAGAGAGGGGTAGAAAGAAACAGAGAGCAAGAGAGAGAGAAAGACATTGATCGATCGATCGATCGATCGATAGATAGATAGATAGTTTGCTGAATAGATGGATAGATGGATAGATAGATAGATAGATAGATAGATAGATAGATAGATAGATAGATAGATAGATAGATAGATAGATAGATAGATAGATAGATA